GGGGTGTGGCATGTGGCATGTACAGCAGTGCTTTGATGGGCTTGTCGGACAGTGGTTTGGAGGTCCCCTCAGGCAGGTACAGGGAGGCCAGGGATGGCTTGGAGGGGAGACCTTTTTTTTTTTTTTTTTTTAAAGGTTTAAAAAAGGGCTTGTTTAATTAATTAAATACAAGGATGAGCCCAGGCAGGGCGGAGGGGCGCCACCCACAGAAAGCACACGTCCCTTGAAGCCACCTCCCCCGCAAACGCAGGAACCAGGTCCCAGTGACTCCTGGGGGACTGGAGGAGTGGACGCAGGTCTCTCCAGGCCCCTGGACACTGGAAAGGGCCCTGGGAACAGAGTTCTGGAACTTATAGCCCTACCAGACCCTGCTGCAGACAGGCCCCTGCCAGGGCGGGACCCACCAAGACACGCAAAGGAAAATGGGGCCCCAGTCCCCTACCCGCCCCCACAGACTAAGGCATCTCACTAACGCTGCCGGAGGAGGGTTTGAGGCCAGGGACTGAGGCCGTGGAGAGCTCCAGAAGAGCGTCTCCGCTTCCCTCCCCCCAGGCCCCCAGGCCCCCATCCCTGGATCCTGCCAGGCCGGGGCTGGGTCCCAGTGCACACCAGTGCCACCCAAAGGCCCCCTGTCCCGAAGCGAGAGGCAGGAAGGTTCTGGAACAAAAGGGGGAACCAAAAACCTCCTGCAGTCGATTTGGGGGATTCCGCCTTTCTGGATCTGGGACATGAAACCTGGGACCCTTCTCATTCCAGGCTGGAGTCATATTGAAATGCAACCCCGGCCACAGCAGGACGACCCCTGGCAAGGACATGAAGGTGGCCCCCGAGGGACAAGTCCCCACCCACCCAATGTCTTGCAGGGACAAATCAAGGGTCTTCTTGATACAAGAAAGGAAATTCATTTTCGTAATTTGAGGAGGTGAAATGAGGAAAAGGTCTAGGTGAAATGAACCATCATAGACAGACCTCCTAAAAAAAAAATCACGGAAATTTTTAAATTATCAAGAATGATACAGAATTCCAAATAAATGATACAGGCACAAATTTTTTCAATGACATGCAGGGACATATGAATTCATACGACAGAAATTGAGCCTAAGAATATGATGCCGTCTAGTTTTGCCATGAAGTGCCGAAAACATTTGAAGGGTCGGAGATTAGTCAGTGAGAAACAATTTGGTGTGGATAGAATTGTAGATTTTCAATTTGGAAGTGATGAAGCTGCTTATCATTTAATCATTGAGCTCTATGATAGGCGGAACATTGTTCTTACAGATTATGAGTACGTAATTTTAAATATTCTAAGGTTTTGAACTGATGAGGCAGATGATGTTAAATTTGCTGTTCGTGAACGCTATCCACTTGATCATGCTAGAGCTGCTGAACCTTTGCTTACTTTGGAAAGATTGACTGAAATAACAGCCCGTGCACCTAAGGGTGAACTACTGAAGAGAGTGCTCAACCCATTGCTTCCCTATGGACCAGCTCTCATTGAACACTGTCTTATAGAAAATGGATTCTCGGGTAATGTCAAAGTGGATGAAAAACTTGAAACTAAAGATATTGAAAAAATACTTGTTTGTCTGCAGAAAGCAGAAGACTATATGAAAACAACATCCACCTTCAGTGGGAAGTGATATATCATTCAGAAAAGAGAAACAAAACCAATCTGGAAGCAGATAAACCAGTCGAAGACATACTCACGTATGAGGAATTTCATCTTTTCTTGTTTTCTCAACATTCACAATGTCCATATATAGAATTTGAATCATTTGACAAGGCTGTGGATGAGTTTTATTCCAAGATAGAAGGCCAGAAAATTGACTTAAAAGCTTTACAACAGGAAAAGCAAGCATTGAAGACATTAGATAATGTTCGAAAGAATCATGAAAACAGATTGGAAGCCCTTCAGCAGACTCAGGAAATAGACAAACTGAAAGGAGAGCTCATAGAAATGAACCTACAAATAGTTGACAGAGCCATTCAGGTAGTTCGAAGTGCTTTGGCTAGCCAAATAGATTGGACAGAAATTGGGTTAATTGTGAAAGAAGCCCAAGCTCAAGGAGACCCTGTTGCAAGTGCAATCAAAGAATTAAAACTACAAACAAATCATGGTACAATGCTGCTAAGATATCCATACTTGTTATCAGAGGAGGAAGATGATGATGTTGATGGTGACGTCGGTGTTGAGAAAAATGAAACCGAACCACCAAAAGGAAAAAAGAAAAAGCAAAAGAATAAACAGCTGCAGAAGCCTCAGAAAAATAAGCCATTACTTGTAGATGTTGATCTCAGCTTGTCAGCATATGCCAATGCCAAAAAGTATTATGATCACAAGAGATATGCTGTTAAGAAAACGCAAAAGACTGTTGAAGCTGCTGAGAAGGCATTCAAATCAGCAGAAAACAAAGCAAACATTAAAAGAAGTTCAGTCTGTTACCTCTATTCAAAAAGCAAGAAAAGTATATTGGTTTGAGAAATTTCTGTAGTTCGTTAGCTCAGAGAACTATCTAATTATAGGTGGACGAGATCAGCAACAGAATGAAATAATTGTGAAAAGATACTTGACACCAGGAGACATTTATGTACATGCTGATCTTCATGGAGCTACTAGCTGTGTAATTAAGAATCCAACAGGAGAACCCATTCCCCAAGGACCTTGACTGAAGCTGGCACAATGGCACTTTGCTACAGTGCTGCTTGGGATGCACGAGTTATCACTAGTGCTTGGTGGGTGTACCATCATCAGGTATCTAAAACAGCACCAACTGGAGAATATTTGACAACAGGAAGCTTCACGATAAGAGGAAAAAAGAATTTTCTTCCTCCTTCATATCTAATGATGGGATTTAGCTTCCTTTTTAAGGTAGATGAGTCTTGTGTTTGGAGACATCGGGGTGAGCGAAAAGTCAGAGTACAGGATGAAGGCATGGAGACACTGGCAAGTTGCACAAGTGAACTCATATCAGAAGAAATGGAACAATTAGATGGAGGTGACACTAGCAGTGAGGAGGATACAGAGGAACATGAAACTCCTCCTGTAGACGTAGAACTCATGACTCAGGTTGACCAAGAGGATATCACTGTTCAGAGTGGTAGAGAAGAACTAAATGAGGAACTCATTCAGGAAGAAAGCTCTGAAGATGAAGGAGCATGTGAAGAGGTTAGAAAAGATCAGGATCTTGTTGGTGAAATGAAGGATGAAGGGGAAGAGACATTAAATTACCCTGATACTACCATTGACTTGTCTCACCTTCAGCCTCAAAGGTCCCTCCAGAAGTTGGCTTCAAAAGAGGAATCCTCTAATTCTAGTGACAGTAAATCACAGAGCCGGAGACATTTGTCAGCCAAGGAAAGAAGGGAAATGAAAAAGAAAAAACTTCCAAGTGACTCAGGAGATTTAGAAGTGATAGAGGGAAAGGACAAAGAAAAAGAAATTACTGTGCATGTTGAAACTCATCAGAACACAAGCAAGAATGTTACAGCTGTGCAGCCAATGAAACGAGGACAAAAGAGTAAAATGAAAAAAATGAAGGAAAAATACAAAGACCAGGATGAAGAAGACCGTGAACTTATCATGAAATTGCTGGGGTCCGCAGGTTCAAACAAAGAAGAAAAAGGGAAGAAGGGGAAGAAAGGAAAAACAAAGGATGAACCTGTGAAGAAACAGCCCCAGGAACTCAGAGGTGGAGAAAGGGTCTCTGACAACATTAAGAAAGAAAGTCCATTTCTTGAGGTTATTACTCATGAGTTATAAGACTTCACTGTAGATGATCCACATGATGACAAGGAAGAGCAAGATCTGGATCAACAGGGAAATGAGGAAAACCTGTTTGATTCTTTGACAGGCCAGCCACATCCTGAAGATGCACTATTGTTTGCCATTCCAATATGTGCCCCTTACACCACCATGACAAACTACAAATATAAAGTGAAACTTACTCCTGGAGTGCAGAAAAAGGGAAAAGCTGTAAAAACAGCCTTGAATAGTTTCATGCATTTCAAAGAAGCAACAGCAAGAGAAAAAGACTTATTCCGCAGCGTAAAGGACACAGATTTATCAAGAAACATTCCTGGCAAAGTGAAAGTGTCTGCACCCAATCTTCTGAATGTAAAAAGGACATAGCTGAAATGAAATTCTAAAAATATTTGAGAAGACCCAATTTTATAGCCTTTTGGAAGTTCAAAGATGAAAACACCATGTTACAGGACTCAGCATTATAAAAATGAACTAAACATTGCCTTGCTATATATATTCACCAAAAGGACTTAATTCTTGGTTTTTTCCCCCAGTTTTATATATAAGAAGCACTGTCTATGATAGGATTTCCTAAAATATTTGTGGACAGTTAAATGCTAATTATATGCATCTGTCGTTATTCTACATTTTCTTGAAGTTTGGAGGTTAATATTGTGTTGTTTTCATGATGTAAAGAAACTGAACAGTGAAGTGGCTTGATTGCTTAAACTACTGACTTGTTAAGTCTACTGTATATAGCAGCTAATGTATATATTACAGTCCAGCCGCAAGGGTTTTTTTTTTTTTTCTTCTTTTTTTTGGTGTGGGGGAGGTTAAATATTTAGGATTGTGTCTTGAAAACTAAATATTGGAGTGGATTTTCTTCTGCTTTCACCTATACTTAAAAAAAAAATGGTGAAACCCCGTCTCTACTAAAAATACAAAAAACATTAGCTGGGCATGGTGGCGCGTGCCTGTAATCCCAGCTACTCAGGAGGTTGAGGCAGGAGAATTGCCTGAACCCAGGAGGCAGATGTTGTGGTGAGCCGAGATTGCGCCATTGCACTCCAGCCTGGGTAACAAGAGCAAAACTCCGTCTCAAAAAAAATAAATAAAAAATAAAAAAAAAGACCCCCCATTTTTTTTTTTTTTGAGCTGGGAGAAGGGCAGTGAAATTCAAAACAGGGCTGGGCTGAGGGCAGAGGACAGAGTTGCTCTTGTCCTTGGCCCCCACTGGGCTTGGCCTGGTGGCAGGGGTGGTATTTTGAACAGTATCAGCAGCCAAGGCATAGCAGGTTTTGATTCAGTCAGTTGCCCTCAGCGTATCACCCCTCGGCAGCACACCACGGGACTAAGGCTGCAAGAAAGCAAACCCCAGGAAGCCCCAGCCACACTCACTCTGGGGTTCTGAACACAGGCCCTTGACTGCTGTGAGTTCAAATCCTGAACCTGCCACTTGTGGGCTTGTGACAGCAGGCACATGCTTCCTGAGGCCAGTCACAGATTCCTCGCCTGTCAAGTGGATATAATTCACATCATAAGATGGATCTGCAGAAAACACTCCTGGCATATAGTCAACAGGCATCAGTCCAGTCTTCTGATGTCACAGACGGGCCACCTGAGGTGCACAGGGAGGGAGGGACTTGTTCCCGGCCACGCAGCCACCCTCCATCTACACAGCACAGGTCCCTGACCACCCGCAGCCCTTCTCTCCCTGCCTCTGCTGAGGGAGAGGGGGGTCAAGTGTCAGTCAAAGACTTTGCCATTTTTCCTTCCAATGCTTTCAACTTGAATCTGGCATACAAATTCATACGACAGAATTCGTTGTATGAAAAATCAAGGGAGGAGGAAAGAGAGAAGAAAAAAAAAAATCAGAGGGAAGTGAGTTTTTCCAGCTCCCGGACTGAGGGAGCTGACCAAGCCCTGGGGCAAAGAGCCTGATGAGACTGTGCACAGTTTTGCCCAGTGCCGCCTTGGACCTGAGGTGGCGTCTCTAGCCATGCACAGTCTCTGCCGTGGAGTATTTGCAGGCAATAGCCGTGAGCTCAGCATCAGGTCCTGCATTCCCAGTCTCTTCCAAGCTGAGCAAACCCATCGTTCCGTATTACTGGGTCTGCTGCTGGGGCCAGGGCGGACCCCACAGCCAGGCTCAGCACTTATTCGTCAGGCCTCGGCTGAGCGCTGGAGCCAGTGGTCACTTCGTGGAGGTCTAGAGATGTTGCCTCAGGCCCTTGAAACCCACCTGACTAGTAGAGGGGTCACTGTTCTAAGAGGCCATCCAGTCTGTGGGCTCAGCATCCAGGCAGAAGAGCGCTGGAAGGTTTCTCTAGGGGACAGCAGTCTGGAGGCTGACCATGTTATTAGTGCCATTCCAGCTTCAGTGCTCAGCAAGCTGCTGCCTGCTGAGGCTGCACCTCTGGCTCGTGCCCTGAGTGCCATCACTGCTGTGTCTGTAGCTGTGGTAAACCTGCAGTACCAAGGAGCTCATCTGCCTGTCCAGGGATTTGGACACTTGATGCCATCTTCAGAAGATCCAGGCGTCCTGGGAATTGTGTATGACTCAGTTGCTTTCCCTGAGCAGGATGGGAGCCCCCCTGGCCTCAGAGTGACTGTGATGCTGGGAGGTTCCTGGTTACAGACGCTGGAGGCGAGTGGCTGTGTCTTATCTCAGGAGCTGTTTCAACAGCAGGCACAGGAAGCAGTTGCCACACAATTAGGACTGAAGGAGCTGCCGAGTCACTGCTTGGTCCATCTACACAAGAACTGCATCCCCCAGTATACACTAGGTCACTGGCAAAAACTAGAGTCAGCTAGGCAACTCTTGGCTGCTCAGGGTTGCCCCTGACTCTGGCTGGAGCCTCCTATGAGGGGGTTGCTGTTAATGACTGCATAGAGAGTGGGCGCCAGGCAGCAGTCAGTGTCACGGGCACAGAACCTAACAGCTGATCTCCAACTCTCACTCATGAAAATAAAAGTTGCTGGAGCTTGAAAAAAAAATTGATTTTTGGTCTTAGGAAACCGGACCAGGGAACCGCTCCACCACAAGGTAAGACTTCTGTTGCCCACAACCCCTCCTGCTGCTTGCCTCGTGGACCGAGGACCTGAGTGTAGAGGAGACGTCCCTACACTCTTGTCTTCTCCCAGTAAGGGGTTTTCCGGGGGTCAGGAATCTGAGGGAGACGTCCCCATCTTCCTGAACCCTCTCGGTGTTGGGTAGTGCAGTCCAGGACGCCTTCTGATCATCTCTGCAGCAGCGGCCGAGGTTTGGGTATTCAGAAGCCCCATTTGCCTGGGCCCTGCCTCAGAGCAGGACCAAATCCCCGGCTTACACTACTAAAACGTCTATCTCAAATAGGCCCTTTGGCGTATAAACTCCCGTTCATTAAGTAACTGTACTTTGAGTTTCTCTTCCCACCCCCGGCACGAGTGAGTGAGAGAGTGAGTTTATGTGTAGTCCCACGGCCTGACGGCTACGGGGCTTGTGTGGGCCTCAACCCGCGGTTCCACGGGGACGTCATAAGGCATAACGGTGATTCGCCTCAGGACTGAAAGTTCTGAGGTGACCAGGCCCAGGGGTTACACGGGTACACCTTAGCCAAGACGCCCTTCATTTTTCAAATCATTTGCAAAAAAAATGAAAATTTTTAGAGGAAATCATCTCTTCCAAATTTTGAGGAGTTTTTCTATATCATTCTTTCATTAAGAACTTCATTTTTAATTTGTCATAAAAGTTTACAACTTGATTTTTTCAAAAAAGTCAACAAACTGCGAGCACCTGTTAATAAAGGTCTTAAATAATTGTCAAAAAAAAAAATGATGCCTCAGCTTGAAACAATAGCGAAAGGGACCCCAGCAACACATAAGAAAGAACTTCCTGACACATGTACTGTGAACCCTGGGAGTGGATAACCAGGAACGGTAAGATATTGGCCCCATTCCCTCCTTTCACGGGTTGGCAGGTATCTCCCAATGGGAGGATTGGACTAGTTGACCTCTCTCAAGCTTCTTTTAATTCTCTTTGTGATTGTAAATGTGTTTTCCTCTTTTATTGCAAATTATTGCTGTTATTTTCCCCACTGGTGAAAAGCTATTGTACAGTCAGTTTTTTTTTAGTGACTTCAAAAAAGAAAAAAAAAAAAAAAAAAAAAAAAAAAACTTCAGGACTTAGCAGAAATCACCACTCTTGATTGCAGCAAAAGAAATATCATTGGATATTTTGAACAAAAAACCATTTTGTTCATTGAGGCAACCCTCAATGGTTCAGTCTGGCCGCCTCCTTGTACATTCTGCTCAAATTCATGGACAGGAGCTGCCAGCTGGGGAGAGTGGAGGCAATTCTCACTGAGCAGACCTAGGTACCTGTCGAACTGCAGGATGTGAGTGGCGTAGTGATCAAACGCCTGCTCCCGGGTCAGGAAGATGTCAGCTACCTTCTGCTGGCTCTCCCAGTTTGACAGCCTTTCCTCCAGCTCCTCCAGGATGCCTTGGTGAAGTTCGTAAATGGCTGGGAGTTCACTCAGGCCCTGCCTCAGCTCCTCCCAGGCCAATGTGTCTCTGCCTTCATGGTCCATGTCATCCAAGGCCCTCATGACAGCTCCATGGAAATCCAGATGTAAGTGCTGGAGCATCTCCACGTATGACTTCTCTGAAGATAGCAGTTCCTGTGCGATGACAAGGGCTCTGGACTGTCCTTCCACCTTGTGGGTGAGGCTGGGGTCTCTTGAAGCACTATCCTCCTCCTCTGAGCTTCTCTGCTCCTCATCCGACGTGAGGTCCTCTTTAGGGGCTGCCGATGAGATGGGACAGACTTTGTAGGGCTCTGTGTAGGTGCTGGCTTGGGAGAGAAGAACCATGAGTTGAGGAGGGATATTAGAGGTGAACAGTTTATACCTCAGTCAGAAATAAACTCTTCCTCATGATCAGAGCATCCAGCACCGATGAAGCAGCTCTGGGAGTGATGGGCTCGCCGTGGCTGGAGGATTTCAAGTATCTTTTTTTTTTTTTTTCCTGGCCCAGGCTTTACTTGCTCCCGGCCCCACGGGCACAAGGAGCACTGCCTCCTGGGGATCCCTGCCAAGCCGGCCCCAGGCTGGAAGCTGCAGGATCCACCCACCGGTGGCCCTCATGGCCCCCCAGAATCTGTATCCTCAGTGCAAAAGGCCTGGGGAGGAAGGCTGAGCCTGGAGGTCAGGCACGGAGGGGCTGTGCGCCCACTGGCCACTGGCTATCTTCTGCACCAGCACCGGCTCTGACAGTGCCTGCCGCTGCAGCCGCTGGATCAGCTCCTCCACGTAGACCTTGAATTTAATTTAAAATTAATCTCCTCAGTGTACTGGTCTAATCCTCAATGGTTCAAACCATTGACCTGGCGGAAGAGTCTCTAAATTCCAAGATACCACAGATAATGAAAAAAGATCAGAGAGCCAGGGGACAGCCCCAGGCTTCCAGAAGAAGCTGCAAGATGCTCGTGTGGCAGAGGGCGAGAAGCTGCTGCTTCAGTGTCAGGTGTCTTCTGACCCCCCAGCCACCATCACCTGGACGCTGAATGGAAAGACCCTCAAGACCACCAAGTTCATCATCCTCTCCCAAGAAGGCTCACTCTGCTCTGTCTCCATCAAGAAGGCACTGTCTGAGGACAGAGGCTTATACAAGTGTGTAGCCAAGAATGACGCTGGCCAGGCTGAGTGCTCCTGCCAAGTCACCGTGGATGATGCTCCAGCCAGTGAGAACACCAAGGCCTGGGAGATGAAATCCCGGAGGCCCAAGAGCTTTCTTCCTCCTGTGCTAGGAACAGAGAGTGATGCAACTGTGAAAAAGAAACCTGCCCCCAAGACGCCTCTGAAGGCAGCAATGCTCCTTCAGATCATCCAGTTTCCTGAGGACCGGAAGGTCCGTGCAGGAGAGTCAGTGGAGCTGTTTGGAAAAGTGGCCGGCACCCAGTCCATCACCTGTACCTGGATGAAGTTCCGAAAGCAGATCCAGGAGAGCGAGCACATGAATGTGGAGAACAGCGAGAACGGCAGCAAGCTCACCATCCTGGCCGCGCACCAGGAGCACTGCGGCTGCTATACACTGCTGGTGGAGAACAAGCTGGGCAGCAGGCAGGCCCAGGTCAACCTCACTGTCGTGGATAAGCCAGACCCCCCAGCCGGCACACCTCGTGCCTCTGACATTCGGAGCTCCTCGCTGACCCTGTCCTGGTATGGCTCCTCGTATGATGGGGGCAGTGCTGTACAGTCCTACAGCATCGAGATCTGGGACTCAGCCAACAAGACATGGAAGGAACTAGCCACATGCTGCAGCACCTCTTTCAACGTCCAGGACCTACTGCCTGATCACGAGTATAAATTCCGTGTACGTGCAATCAGTGTATATGGAACCAGTGAGCCAAGCCAGGAGTCTGAGCTCACAAGAGTAGGAGAGAACCCTGAAGAGCCGAAGGATGAAGTGGAAGTGTCAGACGATGATAAGAAGGAGCCTGAGGTTGATTACCGGACGGTGACAGTCAATACCGAACAAAAAGTATCTGACTTCATGACATTGAAGAGAGATTAGGATCTGGGAAATTTGGACAGGTCTTTTGACTTGTAGAAAAGAAAACTCGAAAAGTCTGGGCAGGGAAATTCTTCAAAGTATATTCAGCAAAAGAGAAAGAGAATATCCGGCAGGAGAATCGGCATCATGAACTGCCTCCACCACCCCAAGCTGGTCCAGTGTGTGGATGCCTTCGAAGAAAAGGCCAACATCGTCATGGTCCTGGAGATCGTGCCAGGGGATGAGCTGTTTGAGCGCATCATTGATGAGGACTTTGAACTGACGGAGCGCGAGTGCATCAGGTACATGCGGCAGATCTCGGAGGGGGTGGAGTACATCCACAAGCAGGGCATTGTGCACCTGGACCTCAAGCCTGAGAGCATCATGTGTGTCAACAAGACGGGCGCCAGGATCAAGCTCATTGACTTTGGTCTGGCCAGGAGGCTGGAGAACGCGGAGTCTCTGAAGGTCCTCTTTGGCACTCCGGAGTTTGTGGCTCCTGAAGTGATCAACTATGAGCCCATCAGCTATGCCACAGACATGTGGAGCATCAGGGTCATCTGCTACATCCTGGTCAGTGGCCTTTCCCCCTTCATGGGAGACAACGATAATGAAACCTTGGCCAACGTTACCTCAGCCACCTGGGACTTCAACGACAAGGCATTCGATGAGATCTCCGATGATGCCAAGGATGTCATCAGCAGTCTGCTGAAGAAAGATATGAAAAACCGCCTGGACTGCACGCAGTGCCTTCAGCATCCATGGCTAACGAAAGGTACCAATAACATGGAGGCCAAGAAACTCTCCAAGGACCGGATGAAGAAGTACATGGCAAGAAGGAAATGGCAGAAAACGGGCAATGCTGTGAGAGCCATTGGAAGGCTGTCCTCTATGGCAATGATCTCGGGGCTCAGTGACAGGAAAACCTCAACAGGGTCACCAACCAGCCCACTCAATGCAGAAAAACTAGAATCTGAAGGTGTGTCCCAAGCTTTCCTTGAGGCCGTTGCTGAGGAAAAGCCCCATGTAAAACCCTATTTCTCTAAGACCATTCGTGATTTAGAAGTTGTGGAGGGAAGTGCTGCTAGATTTGACTGCAAGATTGAAGGATACCCGGACCCCGAGGTTGTCTGGTTCAAAGATGACCAGTCAATCAGGGAGTCCTGCCACTTCCAGATAGACTACGATGAGGACGGGAACTGCTCTTTAATTATTAGTGATGTTTGTGGGGAAGATGATGCCAAGTACACCTGCAAGGCTGTCAACAGTCTTGGAGAAGCCACCTGCACAGCAGAGCTCATTGTGGAAACAATGGAGGAAGGCGAAGGGGAAGGGGAAGAGGAAGAAGAGTGAATCAAAGCCAGACAAAAGCAGTTTCTAAGTCATATTAAAAGGACTAGTTCTCTAAAACTCAAAAAAACTCAAGATAGCAAAAGCACCTAGTTGTGATAGATTATCTAGATAGGTCATTTTTGTGTTGATTCTTCAGCAACAGCAGTTGGTACCTGGCAGCGTTATTGATGGGCATTAATCCACCTTAGCTGGCACTTAAGATACTAGTGCCGCTAGATTTCATTTAGGGAAATCACCAGTAACTTGCCTGACCAATTGATTTTAGAGAGAAAGTAACCAAACAAAATGTTTATCTGGGCAAAGTCATAAATTCTCCACTTGAATGTGCTCATGAAAAATAAGGCCAAAAGGAGGGTTCTGGGCCACAGCTCAGCCCAGAGGGTCCCTGGAGACAGGAGGCCTTTCTCTCCTCACCCCCTGACTCCAGAGAACTGGGTTTTCTCCCAGTACTGCAGCACCTCCTTCTGAAAGCAGTTGAGCCATTCTAACTTATCAGGCACACTTGATTCCAAAGTACACTGCAGGCATTCAAACTCTCCATTTCTCTTTCCCCTTCCACCTGCCAGTTTTTCTAGATCTGAACTTGTCATGAATTTAAGCATTAGCAACATTATGCTTCTTAAATTCTGAAGACAGGTCCCCTGCTCATGGATGACTCTGGCTTCCTTAGGAAAATATTTTTCTTCCAAAATCAGTAGGAACTCTAAACTTACCCCCTCTTTGCAAATGTCTAGCAGCTTTAGACATTTGGTTAAGAACCCATGGGGAAAAAAAATGCTAATGTGGTTTTCTTTGTAACCAGGATTCATATTTATGTTGTTACAGAGTATCAGTTCTGCATGTGTGGTAAAGATTTTTGTGTTTGAATGCAGGAAAAACCAGTTTGCTGAAATGTTAGTCTTAATTATCTATTGGCCACTATGAAACAGATTTCAACTGATAAAGAGCTGGAGAACTCCATGTACTTTGGAATCTTCTCCAAGACAGTCAGAGTTTAATTCATCTTCATTCTCAACACTCTCCAAAGAACTCGACCTACCTTATGGGTTCCATATCTTTCTTCTTAAATGTGCATCAATCATGCCTTGCCCTCAACCTTTAAATATATTCTTAGACCTGGTAAATGCACTCAGACTTGCACCTTTAGGAATTTTTAGCTTTCTTTCACTACATTGGCACTTAAATTTTTTCTTTATAAAACTTTTTGAAGGTCATAAACAAAGACCATAACTGATAGACCTGATACATTTCCCGTGTGTGTGTGTGTGTGTGTGTGTGTGTATGTGTGTGTGTAACATTCCAAATACTTTTTTCCCCCCACTGTTTGTAAGGTGCAGCCATTTAATATTTTAAGGGACTTTTTAAAGAGTTCCTTAAGAATCAATTTAAAATTACTTCAGTGCAATACTACATAGTATCAACATTAGAATTTTGATATTAGTCTTACCTTATCTTCCATTCTATTTTTATCTGCTTTTTGCTGCTAGTTTCAAATTGCCAGTATTTTTCCTTTTGCTTTTAAAATAGTTACAATATTTTTCATAATAGCCACAGTATTGTCACAGTTTATAAAGGGGTTTTATTTGATTTAGAGCATTCAAAGCTTTTCTCCATCACTTTTAATTGTGTTCAGAATATAACCTTTGTGTGCATGTATGTTGTGTGTGTGCATGTGTGGTGTATATGTGTGTTACAGGTTAATGCCTTCTTGGAATTATGTTAATGTTCTCTCAGTTTATTATGCCATCAGAATGGTAAATGAGAACACTACAACTGTAGTCAGCTCACAATTTTTAAATAAAGGATACCACAGTAAAAAAAAAAAAAAAAGAAAAGAAAAAACATTTTTTTTTCAATATGGCTCTTTTCTGCTCTTATTCCTTTTGTTTTGTATGAAGACTGCAATACAGGCCTTGCTTCCTTTACATTCAATACCAGTAAGATTCTACAGGAAAGCTGGAAGGGACCAAAATACTGATTGTAATAAATATTTGTGGGCCTCCTTGTACTGACTGGGCAGCCGATGAAGGGGTAGGGAGAGGTCTCTGAGAGGCACCACCGATTGCTTCTAGGTCTACACAAGAGACAGGCGCTGCTATTCGCTGTGCGTGGAGACATCGGAGGAGGAGCTGCTGTTGCTGTTGTTGGTCTGGGCCCTCTTTATGTATAAGTTTAGTAGCTTCATCTTGCTCCCTGTGAGCTGTGCGAGGTGAGGTTTCAGGTCTTCTCCGATTACAGAATAAATCGCCACTAAGGAAAACACGCTGGCCTTACGCACACTACTTTTGGTGTTGTCATAACCCTGCAGCAAGCCTGGGATGATGTCAGCGAGGAGCTGCAGCAACGACTCCTTGGCAATCCTCTCGACGACTTTGGTCTGCATCTTGATGGCAGCAAGGTTGATGGGATAGTCGGCCGTCTGGATGATGGGGCAGAGCACCTTGATGCACTGCTCCGGGTGGAAGGAACTGGCCAGTGTGGACGCAGCCTCCTCAGCTGCTCTCACCACCTCCTATGGGAGTCTTTGTGGGCTTCCAGAGTCTTCACAATCGTCAGCTCAGCGTAGTTTTTAAATCTTGCTGGTTGATTTCTCAGAATTTCCCTCAAAACTCTCAACGCCAGTGCTCAAATTGAATGGTCTTTGTCTCCAAGGGTCTCCAGCAGCAGGAGCAGAATGGTCTTGAAGTGCTCCTCCCAGACGCCAAGGCTGTCTTCCCGTGTGATTTTGAGCAGCTCCAGCAGGGCTCCTTTCCGTTCCTCCACCCGCTCGTTGTGGTTGGACAGCTCTTCAGAAGGTCAGCCACCAGGTCAGAATGGTCGATGGGCACATCTCGAAGCTGCTCCATGTCATCATCGAACACAGCCTCCTTCAGGGCGGTCTTGTCGTAGGTGTTGATGGTATCTGAGTAGGGGTACGGGTTGTACTCTCACGCCCGCGGCCCAGGGAAGGCACGCGGAGGCTGGGTGTTGAGTAGCGAGGTCTTGTTATCCAGAGCTGTCCGGCCTCCTTCTACCTCACTGCACCCCGACCCCGGCCCTTGGTGGCAGGAGAGGCAGCGCCCCCATCGCGGGACACAATATCACACTCCTTTTTGCCATCTCGTTTAATTAGCTCATTCAGATCCTCTTGGCTTCGAAGCTAAACTTTTCAATGGCTTCTGTAACTCCACGTAGAGAACTACAGATTTCTTCAGAGTTCAGGTTCTCTGTATCATAGTCCAGCATGCTTGGAGACAGACCCCCATGGGAACAGTTGGTGGGTGAGGTCAGGGGGCTGGTCCTGCTGCTGGTGTGTCGGGAGGGTGTCCGGCCAATCGTATTGCTTGGAGAGCCCACACTGATGTTACTGGAATTCTTGAGGTGGTTATGCAGGAGTTTGGTGGCACCATCGTGGAATGTTTTTGGCAAGGCACCAAGTAAATGGTAAATTCAGGAGTATTCAATTCAAACAGAGAGATTAGCACAATTTGTGCTGCCTTTCTCACGTCTGAACTCTTTGGTTCTGTTGTCCAGGTTATGACTCTAGAAACAGCAAGCCTTGTCTCACTAGAGTTTACAAAATCTGTTGGATCCATCTGTCTGGCCAGAGACTCAATATATTTCAGGATTGCAACTTTGACCTTGAGGTTTGGAGTTTGAGTTTGATCCACAATAAATCTCATCAAAATGTTAAATTGTTGATCAAATGGAAAGGAGGCCCTGGTGACATCTAGAGCCTTTTGGACTTTTGCTTGCATAGATCCAAGTAAATCTGCTCCCATTTTCTTAAGTAATTGTGTGAGAAGAACAAAAGGCCAGTCTTGCAAGTCATCCTTATGAATTATTATAAAATCCACAAGAGTCTCCAAAAACATACTGAAAACTCTCTTGCTATGAGGATCAGCAAACATCCGGGTGAAAATCACACACAATCTTTTCAGTTCAATTCGACTCAGTGTTCTTTGGCTCTTCAGTAGGTTCTGCTGGCTCAGAAGCCCTTCTTTCCTATCTGACCAGTTTAAACTAGCACAGTGGTTGAGAACTGCTGCTACATCCTCGGTCTGCTGCAGATGATGGGGAATGCCACCATTCCTGGAGCCATACGAGCGCTCAGAGCAAACACTTGAGGCATCACTGTTGGCAGCATCGTCAGAATACATCCCATATGGCTCATACCTCCTCCTCACAGGCTTCTTCTTGCTCCTGGAGTCTCCTAATAGCAAAGCATCAGCAACAGCAGCTTCAAGATCTGTACTTGTGCTCAAAACTCTCATGGCATTCACAGAACCAGGTATTCTTCCTGGCTGGCCAAGCCCAAACCGATCTAATCCTATTCAGTTTGGACTTGTTTCCCAGCTACACCCCTGGCTCCTGGTAATCTTCTTCGCTTTTCTGAAGATGGTGTCACAGGCGGGCCTTGTGAGGAGCCCCCAGCAAGTCCACCATCAGTACTTCCCAACAATTTTCCTGGAGAACTTGACCGGCTGCCGGCACCAGCAGGATTAGCAGATCTGGATCGCTGGGACTGTGAAACCACTTTAGCGCGACTGTGGCCCGGTTATCAGAAGGTGTAGAGGCGACGTTGGTGGCACTCCCAGAGCTTTGCTGTCTTGTGCGGATCCGACCTAAGGATGCATATGACCCTGGAGGCAAAGCCGCTGTGGAGCTGAAAGGTGTCATTCCCGAAGATGAGGAGACTTTGGATTTGGCACTGGCTGCTGCGTTCACATCAATGTCACTTCGAGATCGCTGAAGGGAACCAGTCGTTGACACAGATTTGGTACTAACTGTAGAACCTCTAGACGTGGTACTTCCAGTAGGACTTCTTTTGGCAGACAGCGGCCGATTTAGACTCTCTTGAGAGCTGGAAGACAAGCGATCAGACTGAGGCAGAGACACGATGCTGTTTGAGTTCTTCAGGTGGGACTGCAGGGCTTTTTGGTAGGAGGACTCCACGGTGTGGTATAAGTGCTCTGCTTCTCTGCTGAAGTGACTGTGAAAACCCCAGTAACATTTTCTGGCTTCCATTCTTGCTTCGGAATCAGCATCGTGTATTCCTTTCTTTACTGTTTCCGCTAATATGGATATGTGTCGTTCTAGTGAATGCGTCTGCCATTCTTGTAAAAGCAAATCTAAAAATTCAAAACAGCGCCTTCTAACTGCGACGGACTTAGAGGTACAGTTGCTTGTTATGACAAGTATTAACCTAGGGATGTGTGTGTGCCGAATAATTAACTAACAGCTACAACACCAGACGTGGCCATAATTTTGGCGTGACCCTCATTTTTTTTTTTAATGGGAAAAAATGATGGGTATATATATTGTGCTGTTTTTGTAGTATGCTGCTGGTATGATAATAAAACAAAACAAAACAGTACAGTAGATGCCAAGTAAGAAAACAAGCTATAGAACTCTATGGATTTTTTCTTTTCTTTTTTAAGACAGAGTCTTGCTGTTGTCCAGGCTGAAGTGCAGTGGTGCGATCTCAGCTCACTGCAACCTCCACCTTCTAGGTTCAAGGGATTCTTCTGCCTCAGCCTCTCGAGTAGCTGGGATTACAGGCATGTGCCACCACTCCCGCATAATTTGTTTTTATTGATACTATTTATTACAGTAAATTAGTTGAATGTGAAGTTTTGGATAGCTTGAATTCACCATTTTCTTATGCACAAATGGGCATTTTTCTCATTTACAAATGGGCATTTCTCTTTGGCATCCATTAAGTATTTGCCCAGATATTGGCCTCTGTCAAATATTTAAAAAATCATCCTAGTTTCTATTAAACAAAACTAAAAGTGATTCTATGGAGAGTGATTGTGTGATTACCAAACATATCTGATGTTAAATGTCATTAAAGTGCTGTTTGATGATCTCTGTCAGCTTGTGCTAATTAAGACAGAGAGGGCTGGGATTTTATAAATCCCAAGAGTCTTATCTGAACAGTCTGCATATAAAAGTTGTTTTTAGCCTTGTGAAGGGTATCCATGAAGCAGTGGACTTCTGCATTCCTGTCTTTGCTGGTCAATAACAGCCATCTTTCCAACTGTCATCTTTCATGCTACCATAGGTTTTAGGAGCTGGCAAGGATCTGCGAACAGGTTGTGCAAGTTTGCTGCGAGGCACTGGTATGCCCCCAGCAGAAGGGGCACTGGGTCTGGGCAAGCCACTTCTCATTGCAGTTGTCCCTGCAGGTCTGGTTAGAGTAGTGCTGTTGATATTGCTGGGAGGATTTGCTGAGACTGTGTTCGGAACCACAGGAGGCCCAGGTGAGGAGGTGGTTTGTGCGAGCTGTTATTTCTTGGCTACCAGGAGAACCAGAGCCATGATTACTAAATGCTTTCACTGGTTGCAGAAGAGCCAAAGGAGATGGTGCTGCAGGGGAACGGAATTTGCCTGGAGAAGGTATGGCTGAAGCCTGAGGTTGCATGCGAATAAATGATACAGGGACAAATTTTTTTTTAAATTGACATTCAAATTAAAATAAGAATGTCCAGTTTGGAGGAGGCTCCCACACGGTTCCGCTCCAGTGGAATGTTGAACATTTGCTCATCCACCTCCCTCATGGACATGTGACCTCTAAAAATGGCAGCCACGGTTAGGTAGCGGCCATGACAGGACAAGTGGTCCGGCTTATTGTGTTTTTCCTCCCTCACACCACCAGCGCTTCAGCATCTTCACCTTCAGCTCTGTGGACCCTACAGCTGTGAAGCAGGCCCTTAGGGGACCGGTATCTGCACTGCAGCGTGTCAGTCTGCCAGCCTGCTGAGACACCGTCCTGTGTGGTAACCTGCCCTGATCTCAGCCGAAGTAGTTCTGACACCAGTTTTCAGAACACTACTGCTAGTGCTTCTAGCAAAGGCCCCATGATTCTACTCCAAGCCACTAAGGACCCTCCAGAAAAGCTCCGTGTTCCTGCAGACTCAAAGCTTCTGTGGGTGGCAGGTCTTACTGGGACCTTGATCCTTGGAGCCTTGTTAGTATCCTACTTGGCTATCAGGAAACGGATGAATTACCCCAACCAAATGTGTCAATAAAACCAGATTGTACTCCAAAAAAAAAAAAAAAAGAGGTCCTAAAAATAAAAAAAGGTTTTTTTGTAAAAAAAATGAACAACAAAATCATCCCCCCTCTCTCTTTTTTTTTTTTTGCAGACCACAGGAAGTTTACTGTGTCTTTAAGAGACTACCATGCAGACCCCTCTTCCAGAGAAAGGTCTTTCAGAGTCAGGGAACTGTCATTCGGATGCGTTGCTTATTTGTCATTTTCGTAGTCAGCCGGATTCTACCTCTTGGATCTCTCAAACTCTTCAGTCCCCCATGTGTAGAGAAGATAAAACCCTATAAACGGCGGCACCACGCGAAGGAACGACTCCCGAGTGCGGCGCACCACGTTGGGGACTCCTTTAGAGAAGACGTGCGTGAAGGCGCGCTGCTCGAAAGATCACATGCCGCATCCGCGTCAGATTCCCAAACTCGCGGCTCATGGTGGCGGCGGCCCGAACCGCAGTCACCGATTCGGCGGACTCGTTCGTCACTTCCGGTAAGATCGGAAGCGGCTCTTGGAGGACGTGAGATCACTTCTGGGAGATACCATTTTCCTGCTGTCTCTAGGGGGTGACGCCTTTGTCCCAGAAAGAAATGTCCTGACTGGGTGACCGGTAGGTGGGCGGTGCCTTGGAGGCCCTCCCTGGGTCCGTGGCTTGGAGCTTAGCGGGGGAAGTTGGGGGTTGAGCGGGCTTTGGGGAGCAGTGGGCAGGCGGAGGCGCTCACACTTCTCCTCAGCCGTGGGCCTTTCTGTGGAGTCCAGTCAGAAAGCGGTCAAATGCGGAGGCGGGTGAGGGGACAATGAGGTGACAAGGAAGGGGCCTGTGGACCTCGGGGCCGCGCTGGCCAGGAGCTTGGGGCCTCCGAGTACTCCCGGCTGTAGACAGAGCGCCTCTGAGTCTCGAGGCCAGGGCACCCCGCAGCAGAGGAGCGCGGAGTTTTATTTGGTCTTGGCCAGTCGCTCTAAGGGGGCTCCGTTATGTTCAGGCCACCAGCAACCCCAGCACCAAAATCAGGGACACACATCTAAGGCTTTTCTTGGTAACCTCTGTTTTAGAGTCCACTGGCAGGCTGTAAACAGTCTCAAGAGATAATACAAACGTTTCTTGAAATTCAGCCACAAAAAAATTTATTTTTCCTTCGCTTATGAAACATAAGACAAATGAAAATCATTATCTGTGGTCCCTTCCTTTCAGTCCTTCTTTTCCCAAGGAGGTCTGCCAGCTGAAGGAGCTCTGGGACACCACTGGGGTGGTGACCTCCAGCATCCATGCCTGGGAGACCACACCCTGGAGGGATATCAATGTGGAGGCCATGGACTTTGAGTGCAAACAGTTTGCCCGGCATATCCGAAACCTGGACAGGGAGGTCAGAGCCTGGGATGCATTCACAGGCCTGGAAAGCACTGTGTGGAACACACTGAGCTCCCTGAGGGCAGTAGCTGAGCTGCAGAATCCAGCCATCCGGGAGCGGCACTGGAGGCAGCTGATGCAAGCCACTGGTGTGAGCTTCACTATGGACAAGGACACCACCCTAGCACGCCTCCTGCAGCTCCAGCTGCACCACTGTGAGGACGAGGTCGGGGCATTGTGGACAAAGCCGTGAAAGAGATGGGTATGGAGAAAACCTTAAAGGAGCTGCAGACCACCTGGGCTGGCATGGAATTCCAGTATGAGCCCCACCCACGGACCAACATCCCCCTCCTGCGTTCTGATGAGGACCTCATAGAGGTTCTGGAGGATAACCAGGTTCAACTTCAGACCCTAGTGATGTCCAAGTATGTTGCTTTCTTCCTGGGGGAGGTGTCGGGCTGGCAGAAGAAGCTGTCCACAGCAGATGCTGTCATCTCTCTTTGGGTGGAAGTACAACGAACATGGACTCATCTGGAAAGCATATTCATTGGGTCTGAAGATATTCCGGCACAGCTACCCCAGGTACCTGCTAAGGAAATCTACAATCTCTCTATTCTCTGATCCAGGTGAAGGGAAGGTCACCCCATTCCTGCATTGTCTAGGCTCTTTCCTTTTCCGCCTCCTTGCTTTCACTTTACCTAAAGGGGCCTCCCACAAATGTTCACCTTACGTGCCACCAGAAATCAGGCAGAGGAAAAGAGAGATCGTGAAATGCACATCAATTAGTTTGTCCTTAGATGGGTAGGAAAAAGAAAGGACAACCTCCCTCAGGAAAAAAAAAAAAAAATGTATGTGTAAGAAAGGAGATTAAAAAATACTGGCTACTAAAAAAAAAAAAAAAAAAAAAAAAAAAAATTGATTTGCGGTCTTAGGAAGCCGGACCAGGGAACCTTTTTTCATTACCCTCAGCGCTGGATAAAAAGACCCCCGAGCCTTTTTTTTTTTTTTTTTT